GGACGAGGCTAGGCTTTCTTTCTCATTCAAGATTAGTGTGGCGAGCTCGGACATCTTCAGGATTCTCTCTCAAAACCTCACCTAACTTGAAGATAACCATCTCAAACAACACAAACATGGCCCCTTCATACACACTCCCCATAGGCAGCAACGCCCTCCCAATCTCTCCGCCTTCACCTTCTCCGCTGTTGGCTGCATCGTCAGCCATAGTCTGAGCTGGCAAATAAGCCACCACAGAAGCGTGCTTCACGCTGGATCCGCTCTTGGGCTGTGCAGTCAGCAACAGCACTCTTGCTCCCTGCGATCGAGCCACCGAGCATAAGGCATCGACAGTGGAGAATCCTCCAGGGCCGGCGGAGGCAACGAAGAGGTCGTTGGAGGAGATGGGTGGGGTGGTCATATCGAAAACAAAGTGGGCGGAGAGGCCTAGATGGAAGAGGCGCATACATAGAGCCTTTAGCATGAGGCCCTCTCTGCCCACACCGTAGAGAAAGACGCGGCCCTTTCGCGATGCAACGGTGGTAAGCTCTGTTAAGATTAGGTCTAGGGCTGGTGGGTAAGGGGAGGTGGGTTTGGCAAATATGGAGGCTATTTGGTTGCATATTTGTGAGGCCAGATCTGACATGGAAACGTTTCCGGCGTCCATTTCCGGGTTGAGCAGTGCTAGGGGCACTCGCCTCCTGCACTCTCGGACCAACACATGCTTTTTTATTGGGCCAAGTAAGCTTGCTTCCGGTATGAAATGATTATTTCTCCTAACCGACATAACGTGGCCCAATGAGATTGGACCTGTTGGTCGGAGAGTGCAAATGGCGAGTGTTGCTAGCATTGCTCTTTCCGGGTTCGCTATCTATTATTGCAGCTTTGACAGAGGAAGAGTGAAGTCGAAAGGTTTATCTAATTTGCACATATAAGGATGCAATTTTTTTGTAATTTATTTATATCAAAAAGGGCAAAGTGTTGTCCTTTATAATTTTAAAACCATTGCTGTATGAATGATTTTGATTGACAAATTTATAAAATTAAAATTAAAATTATATTTTATATAAATTAATTGTAAATGATATATATTATACCATAATCTATGCTCTTAAAAGAGGTATACGACCAATGATTTATTATTTCGAGTGAAATGAGTTCGAGTCTTATGAATGAAAAAATAAGTATCGAGAAAAATTCTCTTATTATGAGGTCTAACATGATTTAATTTTAAATTAATCGAAATTTAATGTGATTACAAGATACTTGAGAGATTAATAATAATAACAAAGAGGCACACGTTATTAGAACCTTTGGATTAAAGCTGAAAGGAAACTCAAAATACGAACAATTCCTAATGTGTTTTTGGTTGGTGATGGAAGTTTCTCTCTTAACTTTTTCTTTTATATGGTTAAGTATTTTAAATTGTTAATTTTTTTATTTTTAGTAAGAAAGTAGCATAGAAAATTTAAATTGTTAAATTTTTTTTGTCTTTAATAGGAAACTAATATAAAAATAATATAAAAAAGGTTGGTAAAAAGTTTATCAAGTGAATTTCACATATAAAAAGTTAGGGGAATAAAAATGTATTGGTTGAGAATTGTATTAAGTAAAATAAAAAGTTAAAAATATCATTTTTATCCTCTTTTGAAAGGAAAAAACTTTTTCCCTAACTTTCTATATATGAGATTCACTTAATTTTTTTACTAACTTTTTTTATGTTAATTATTTATTAAACAAAAAAAGATTTAATAATATAACAAAATTTTAATAAAACTTTATTATAAAACTTATCAACTTTTTATACAATATTTTTCTAACTATATTTTCAACAAAATTTAACTCTAACCAAACATGAGACTTGCAGGAAAAATAAAGTTCATGAAGAAAAGTAGCAGTAATTATGGCCCTATGTTGGATTAACATTTTATGAGAGATGCTGACTCTTAAAGTCTTATCCTTATATTGGGCGTGATTTTTTGACACTTTGTAATGACCGTGCTATCCATGGAGCGCTTAAAGATGAAAGAGTTTGGGTTTTTATTTTTTATTATGGATTATTGGAGGTTTTAATTAGATAAGTTTTCGTGCATTTTAAAATTAATATCTTTTTAAGCGATATTAATGATGCACTCTTACATCAAATTAATGTATTTAAAGAAATTAAGTTTTTAAATAGAGACTTAAACTATAAATTTATTTTACAATATGACACTTGTTATTTGTAGATTCAATCCTTACTTCTGCATTGTGTGGTACTAGATCACTAATTAATAGACGAAATAGCACTAAATTTGACCTTACAATAATAGTCAGTTGGTAACAGAAGTCTGGCAGAGTAACTGCCAGACTATTGACAAAAAGACATTTAATTTCTTCGTAAGGCCAGAGTTTGAATCTTCATTCCCTCTTTCTACTCCTTTTTCTTTGAGGATTTTAGCTAGTTAATTTGTCAAAATAAAAATAATAATATGGTTGGTAACTATCTGATGACTAATACGCAATGGTGAGTAGTTGTCTCTCCATGCTATTATAATAGAATTACATGTATTTTGCAATCAGCATTTTCCTATTATAATATAACTACATGTATTTTGTAATTAGATTATAAAATGTGATGGTCACTTCCTTTATTTGCATTCTGGATATTATTATTTTTTATAATTAACATGCTTTAGAATTTTCACTTTTGATTGACACCCTTGTTAATTTGAAGCTTGTAAGAAAATTCAAATTTAAACATCAAATCATGTGCAAATCAAGTGTATATTTGAGGTTTGATTGTTAATTTTTGGATATTTTACATGTTTCGAATTTTGCAGGGTATTGATTAGGAGTGAAAATTTTGGAGGGTGTTGAGTGTGAAAAACAATAATGTCATTTAGTATGTAAATGGGGGGTTTGGCCAAATGTGAATCATCAAATTAGGAAGTCTTTTATGCATTTTCGAGATTCACCCCATTTAATTGTTTAGTTTGTGCTTCATATAGACTAAAACAGAATTTTGAATGTCAAAACCTATGTAGATAAGTAAATAACTATAGAGAGGTGTGGTGTTGGGATATTAAGAAGGTTTGTTCATCTATTAAGTCTAGTATTTGGTTTGGTATGTTTTTTTCTTTGGATGCTGTAATGGGCGAGGATAGAAATTTATTTGGAGAGCGTTTTAGTTGAAGGTTAGGTTGAGGCGAGAAAATCAAGTTTTAGTATGATATTTGAGTGGCTAGTGAGCCTTTAAAATCAGTTTTTCCAAGATTGTTTAATCTTTCATGAAATAAGGATGGCCTGATTATTGCCCATGGGAGATTAGTCGAATGGATCTTGGTGTTGGAAGCCGCTTGGCGACGACCTCTTTTTGGCAGGGAGTTATAGGAAACAAATTTGATGGAGACTGCAGCCCAATGGAAAATGTGGAAGACCAAAGACGATAGATCTGTAGTAAAAGATCGGAAGTATTCTTTAAACGAAGGCTACCTTTTACTATATAATAGAAACAGGATATTGGACAAACATATTTGTGATAAGCCATGGAGTAAATTGCTTCCTTCAAAAGTGAGTTGTTTTGAGTGGTGACTAATGTTAACTAGCCTGCCAACTAAAGCTGTTCTTCAGGATATACATATGGGGCATAAAACTAAACAACGGGGCACTGCTGTGTCTTCTATGCTCTGCTGAGGTTGAATGCCTTGATCATTTGTTTGTTAAATGCGAAAAGATTTAAATTAAATCTGTGGAAGAGGTTGTTACATATGGTGGGGACTGAATTTATCGGCTCCAAGTAATGTGCATCAACTCTGCGAGAGTCATTGTGTTGAAGTTCAGAATTATATACGAGCGGAGATTTGGTCCTTTATATTCTGTGTCCTCATGGTCAATTTGGCTCATAAGGAATTCTCTTTTACAAACTCTAATGCCTGGGATGAGAATTTAGTGTTCTAAATGATTCGGAGAAGAACCTTTCATTTGGCTCAAGGGAAAGGTTGGGGGAAGTGTAGTTGCTTTTCATCAATGGTGTATGGCTCCTAAGCTTTGCATTAGAGGTAATTAGCATTGAGCATTACCATATCAGCCTCCGTCCCTCCTGTTTCTTGATTCAGGGAGATTTTACATGTAACCTTTATTCCCTGTGTAGACAATGGGTATAGGCAAGAGCACTTCTTGTACTCCAAGTTTAATAAATTTTGATTTATCTAAAAAATATAAAACTACTCTCTCTAATCTAATTTAGGCTTTGCTTTGGTTTAAGAGTACTAAGTTGTAACTGCAATTCAGGTTTTTTAGTCTTTTTAACATCTTAAGAATATATAAATATATTTAATATATTCAATATTTATTTTAATTGACATTTTATATATTTTTAT